CATATGTTATTTTCAAGTAATATTAAAAACACAGATAGGAGTTAAAAAAATATAAAAAATCCGGTAATTAATAATTTTTGGCCCGAAACCCGAGGACCAAAATTATCGGCCCGACCCGACCCGACCCGAACCAAAAAAGTCTGACCCGCAGACCCCTAGTATACAGTAATTCTGTTATTAGTACCGTATTGAATATTCTGACTTACAAAAACATATATGTTTCAGTGAATAGCTGTATGATATTGACAAATAAAGGTGTATTGTGAAAACCAAAGCATTCGTAAAACAGGTCTAAATATAAATTAAATGCAATTATTCCTTACACGACCGAAGAAGTGTGACAGTGCATAATCGTCAATTGTCTTAAAAGTGATAAATATTTTAATTACTAAACATGCATTTGCAGATGTGGAATGTTTATTGGTATTCTCTACCCAGTTACTAGGCCTATATCATATCAATACTATTATGCCTGATTCGGAAAGTCCTAGGGGAAGATGATTTGCAATTTCGACTAGGCTATATCTTGATCAAACAAAACCACCTACATGGCTTGCACCACTTTTAGCTGAACCAATCTTTCATATGCATATTTCATTTGCAGATGTGGAATGTTTATTAATATTCTCTACCCAGTTACTATATCATATATCAATACTATTATGCCTGCTTTGGAAAGTCCTAGAGGAAGATGATTTGCAATTTCGACTAGGCTATATCTTGAGCAAACAAAACCCCCTACATGACTTACACCACTTTAAGCTGAACCAATCTTTTATATAATATTTTCCAAAGGTACTATACGTGTTAACGACCAATTTTCCACTTTTGAGGGATTTTTTAGTGCTGGTAGCTGAGGAATAACTTTCATTCCATAAGGCTTGAGACGTTACTGTATTTCTTTTTATAATGTAGAAGTACACCGATTGAAGGAAACGATGATGTCTGGCATGTCAATGTATCTAGAAAAGACAATTAGTTTTTCATTAGGCCTAATGTAATGGACAACTCTTTCCTTCTTAAGGAATATCTAAAAATTTTTATTTTCATACCCATTGATTATGTAACCTGAACAGGTGACTCAAGCAGTTTTAAAATAATGATTGTTCTGTGGAACTTTTGATTGTGTCAAACAGTTTTGCTTATCAAAAATCCTCAAGTATTTAATATATAAAAACTTATACAGTCACTAAAAATCATGAAATAATTTATTTTTGTAAAAAAATACAACCGACTTCAAACGCTCTAAAAAGAATGAAATAATTTCAATAAAGTAAACTTTTGTATTAGGCATGCTCACGTATTTCAAGTCGGTGCGGCTTAAACTGCAAATATGATTGAAACTAAATATTGTGTGTGTATTTTGAAAATTAATAAATTGTAGCTGGATAACTTAACATAAATATATAAAAAAAACATACTGAACTGTTTTGTTTATATATTAAAGGAAATATCTTCTTGTATTTTATGTTTAGGCCTACTTCAGAATAAATGCATTATGAAAATAACACACACAAATGTTCTATATGAATAGGAAAATAATTTAGTTTGATATTATGATAGGGAAAAGAAGCTAGTTTAGTATTAAAACGTTACTTTTCCAAATAAAAAACATTTAAATGCGTTATACGATTTTTAAAGATAATCGTTAATACCACTCTAATGCCGATCTCTGATTACGGTAATAAAATAACACTTAACGCATAACTATGAAAAAGACATGCAGATTAACACCTTTAGTTATAGATAGTCACCTGCAATATGGACACCCTCTTTCAATTTTGTATCAAAAATCATCATAGAGCCGCGGCGACTTAAAATACGTGAGCATGCCTAATACAAAAGTTTACTTTATTGAAATTATTTCATTCTTTTTAGAGCGTTTGAAGTCGGTTGTATTGTTTTACAAAAATAAATTATATGTTCCCCAATTAAGTGGGATGAGAGTTGTGTGAATGCTTCGCACAGGTCGGCTGGTAAATTCTTATAAAATTGTTATCGAACATATTTTGATCGAATTTGGAAAATGTTATTTCTTACTAACTATTAACATTTTACAAAAAAAAAAAAAAAAAAACAATTTTACTCTCCCTGATGCAGCAAACCTACGTACTTGTAAAAATAATTCTATTTAAATCGGGAATAAATGTTATATTTTTTAGTAGACATTTCAGTGTAAATCTAATTAGTCAAATGGAAATTTGCTTAGTCTGCAGGTATGCTGCGGCGGGGGTATTAAATGTCGTTACTAAACAACCATAATAAACTAGCATAATAATAATAATGCGGAAACTCTTGGCAAGCAGTAGAACTTCAGTCTGATGATGAATAAGGTTGGGGCAATTATGTAACAGGATACAATGATAATTGTTTGAATTAAATAGATAATTAATTGTATTAAAGGGGTTTATTTTTAACTTTTACTACATACACTGTTTCCACTTATTTAAAGGGTGTTTTTTAAAAGAATGCCGGGATTTTAAATGATTATAAATAAGTACTATTCAAGGAAACTAAACGTTTTATACGTCAAATTGAAGTTAAAATAACTAAGTTTTATTTCCCTTGTGGCAAGGGAGGAAACTTTGGCCTTGGCATGGGCAAAACAGGTGCGCGGTGGTGCCGCTATTGTGACTCATACGCTTGACGCCAGTCGCCAGTACGACAGTTTGCGGCACAACAGAAGACACAGATTGCAATCTGTGGTTAGCATTGTTTAAATATATATTGTTTTGCTAAATTAAACTAAATTTAAATCTACTTGATGATAAAGAAACTTGAACCTGGTTTACTGAGTTCGTGGCACCGAAGTGTTTTGAAAAGACATTCACCTGGCCGGCTAAAGCAAGCGATGGCATAGTCGAAGAAATCCGACAATTCTGCATCAGAAGCCCGAAAAAATCGATTGCCCGGCGAAGTCTTCAGTTGAACAATCCTAAATGGGTCACTTGATATGATGTTATCTATAAAATATAGAGTCGTGCCGAAAAAGATTAAGTTAAGACATCAGACAAACCCGCCGATCGCCTTAAGCGTACAAACTTTTCCAGTTTCATGCTTATATAAGATTGATGAAAATCTGAATTTTATTAAGTCATTCCGAATTGTATCAAATAATTAGAAAAAAACTTTATTCTTTTCCCTTCAATTTGACGTTGAAATCATTTAATTATCTTGAATAGTCCCCGAGCAACGACCGTTTGAAATCCCGGCATTCTTTTAAAAACACCCTGTTTAATGTCTTAATCCTTTGGTAAATTTCAATATCCATTCACTAAGATAATTGCCAATGCATAGGTGTTTTTGCTAGGGCCTTTTTTATGTTATTCCAGTAGTTAAATAATACATACATACCAAATCCCATCCTTCTGCCATAATGAACTCAGTATGGGATTATTATGGTAGTCTATCAACGAAAGCACCAGCAGCGTAACATTTCAAATGCCACAGCAAATATAAATGGAAAGGAAAAGAACTAGGGAATGTCGAAGCCATAATTTTAGTTTAGGGTCCCAGTTTTTTTGGAAATTAAGTTTTAATTTTTTTAAAGTCTAGCAGCCGACGCTAACATTTTACACTAACTTTTGGTATAATACCATTTGCTTAACGTAACAGCTGTTAACATTAAGCTTGTGTGACACAAATTCAGCATTTGGATAATAATGACATGCATAGGGTTGACTTATTCATACTATGTGTAATGCTATAGTCATTGATACGTTCATTTATTTGGTAAGAGGATGACAGAGTATTTAAATATTTGGTAAAATGCTAGATATTCTAATCTATTTTTTAAAGCTGTCTTTAAAATTTTAAGTTTGTTTTAGAGCAATATAATTTGTTTTAACCATCAGGTTAGTTGATCATTCTGTGGTTTTGTCATTGATTAAAGGAAATGAGTAAGATTCTATAACCACTGATGTATATAAATTGAGTCTTCAAAGGAAAGGTTATGCAAATTATTTTTCTGTTCGACTTTTTGAGGAAAGAATAGGAAAATAAAATGTTTACATGTTTTAAATCATCTTGGAAGCTTTTTGTTTACAATAAATGTTTAACCGCTTAAACTTTGCTAGGATTAGAAATAGAAATATTGACATAACTTAAGTTTTAGTTGACTCCTCAATTCCCTAACGTAGGACGGGCCAGCAGCTAGTCACAATTAATGTATATTACGAGTTTTTAAATTTATTTTCTAAATATTGCATTTTATGGCTAAACGGTTAATTATATCGAATTACTTCTTGTACAAAAGTTGTAGCTCTTTCTTTGGCGAGACATTCTTTACATTTAATGTTCTTAATAGTTTTTGAGTAATCGGGGAAAAACTTATTTTTAGACGCCATTTTCCAAGATGGCGGCCGTAGCACAAGTTTTTTTTTTTTCGAGGACTTTTGGTATGTTATTCCGGAAGCAAAATTCAATATATGTAGCAAGTTTTACACTTATAAGAGTTTTTTTTAGGTAATGGAGATATTTTGATTTAAAATGGCTACACTAATATATAGAGAGTTTGAATTATAGAGGTCAGAATAAATAAAATTTGAATTATGGTGGTCCCAGTTTTAAGTGTAGAGAGTTTGAGAGAACGGAGAATGGACACATTGTGGGAACATCAATAAGAGCGTCAGTTCATGTTTCAACAGGCGTATTTTTTGTTCTAAATTCGAATTACAGACTCTTACGGTGACAAAGTTTGAAATGTAGAGGTTGACTTCAAATTTTGGAGATAGCAATTCAAATTATAGCAACAAAATTTGAATTGTAGAGGCTCAAGTATGTGCAAATTTGAATTGTAGAGGCTGCATCAATCGTAAAAATCACTTCGAATTATGGGTATATTATTTTTAGAATTTTAGAGGTTTTCTTAGGGGAACAGACAAACATTACTAATTATAGAGGTTTTCAATTTATCGAGGTTCGAATTAGTGAGGTTCTACTTATTATTAGCATAGTGCCAATAAAGTAGATTAAAACATCTATACGTTATTATTTTTCAGCCTAGACAACAAGAGAACTGAAGCTACAAAACAAGAGATCAACAAAGACATGAAACGTAGACTTCATTCGCCCGAAGAGTGTGTAGAAATTAAGAAACCCAAGCCCAACCAAGCAGAGCTTGATCAGGTTTGGCTATTTATCTTTAATTTTTTTATTATTTATTGACACCTATGACATATGCAACAGTAGGCTTAATCATTATTATGTAAAGCAGGTGTCGTTTCTGTTACATTTTTTAATGCCATTAGCTAAGGCCCCAAGGAGAAATTTTTTTTTTAAGAGGTTGGCGGCCTCTTTTAACCTTGCATTTGCCCGTCCACATAGACTACAGATCTGTGCGTGGAACGTATCCAGCAAAGCAAGGGGTGAGCCGGTACAGTACAAAGGTGAACTGTATAAAAGTTAGTGACAGTGACCAGGATTAAATGAACTATTAAATGAAATTTAAATTTAATTTCAGTTAATTTAAATAATAATACAAATAAGTTTGCTTTTGGTAGTGACATTATTTCTTTATGACTTATACCGGTTCTGTTCTAATATTGTTGCTCTTAATCATCTTGTTATGCATTTTTTAAGTACGTGATTAATTCTTGGTTTCAGTTTGAACATGATTGAATATTTTTGACCTAAAGAACATTACTACGTGTGTTTGTATACGTGTCCCATTAGTTTTATCTTGCAAACAAAACATTGTTATAGCTGTAGGAAAAGGTCAGTAGTTATAAATGAGGTTGTAAATACAACGGAATAAACTTACAGTGACGGCAGTGCTCTCGTATTAGCACCAACTAGCTGTGCTGCTTCTAATGGCCAAACTCGGCATAGATTGAATATTCAAGATTTTAATGAACTACAGGAGGAAAATAAACTAAATCATGGGATTTGGTCTGAAAAAGTACGTGTCGAAGTTTACGATGAAATATGTGAGCAGAAGCTACTAGTAATTATCAACATTTACGTCAAGCAAACCCTGAAAACCAAGATGAAGTGTTTGGTGGTCTTAATATTTATCAGTGTGGTGATGTGGCTCAGTTACAATGGTTGCAAGATTGAGCTTGATCCCAAGGCATGACCCTAAACCAAGCAATTGTTGATTTTGGACCAATCCAGTGCTGGGTTGACATATGTTGCAGTGACCCACGTCTGAACTATCGACAGGCTGTTTTTCGGCCCAGTATTCCCAAAAGAAAGTATGATGAGCATTAACAAAAGCTCGGTCTGGAGAAATAAACTAGTTAAATATCAACATTTGTCGTTAAGTATTACCGTTATAACTGTTTCTTTTGTTTTAGTTTGAAATGTTCACATTCGTTGAGATAAATTGTCCAATCAATAAAATATAATATTGTACTAAATTCATGTTCAATCATTTAACTCAATGTTTAGTAAATATTGAATATCTAATTGTCCGGTTTGTTTTTTTTATCCTGGAGGTCTTAGACTTAAGAGAATACACTTTTGATATAAAAGAATGTTCTTTTGTATTTTCATTTGTATACTTGTAAAGTTGAACTGTTATTCAGTTATCAGTAACCAAAATAGTAGGATCCGAAACTGTTTGGGTTGAATGTAATCACTACACTTTTTCTGTTCAAGAAAAAGTAACTATACCATCCCATAGGTTTTAAGCTTAAAATGTAAATTAAGGTCTAAAAAACCCATATACAGTAGTAACATTTCTGTGTTTTTGACAAATCATTTCTTTTCACTGGGAAATAATTTGTAACTATTTTAACCACCCTAAAAATTTATTCCTAAGCACTATTCAAAATTTTAAAAATGTATGTCAATTTTAAGGGGATGAAAATGCAGTATATTTATAACGTCCACACTACTAATTTTTGCCGACTCCCATTCGCAGACTCTAGCCTAGTCAGATTCATTCCTTAACCTCAAAAATTCTAATAAACAAACAAACTTACCTTTTACTTCAAATAGTTACGAATTCTACATCTTGGAAGATAACACCATAAGATTATCACTATTTGAGTAGGTACTCATACGACAACCACTACAATATAAACAACACAATAAAAAAAGGTAGCTATTTACTTTCTAAACACGCATACAGAAGTTAAGTTAACCTCAACTGTCTGTCGGACTGTCGCTGTCGCCACTCGCTACTGTCGTTGTTCTCGTTCCTCCGTGGTGTGAGTTATGAGACCAGTGGTGCCACCTCAACCTCATTATGTGCTTAGTTCTTTAAAAAAATTCTACTAACTAAAATTCTGTTCATTCACATTGGTGCCGATCAAAAATAAAACTGTAAGAATAAGGAACGTCAACATATTCCTTAATCTAAAAAAAAAAAAATCCTCGGGGGGGGGGGGGGGCAATTGCCCCTAGTGCCCCCTCTCTGGATCCGCCCTTGCACCCAGTTTACTTATTGGAGACAAGGATAACATGGGAATTTTAAATTAACATTTTTTTTCTTCGTAACCAATAACCATTAGAGGACACTTTATTATAGGCTACTAAATTATTTGTTTTTTTAAGCTCTTTAAAATTATTTATAAAGAAATTGGCAAGTTTTAAGTTTTGTGTGTCAAAAATGAGAAAACCCTATTTTTACCCCATAAAATCCCACATAAGACCCTGTTTCCATGGTCCGATCATGCTGGTTCACAAACTCATTCAAGTTTAACCTGCCCTACAGCTTCAAGCCAAATTTCATCAAAATCGGACAAATATAAAAAATTGAACAAATAGTGTTTTTGGCCTCTAAGGGACATTAAAATGAAAAAGTATATCGGTCCTGGGCCTAGGTCTTACCCCTTAGGTATTACCTATGGTAATAGAAGTAAACATACTTCCCTATAGGGAAATTCGCTAAAAATGCCAAAATATTAGAAGTTGTAGTACCTATCTAAACTAGTCTAAAAACTTGTCTTACAAAGCCCTTAAAACGCATATAAGTAATTCAAAATTAAAAAAAAAAAGTGCTGAGAGACCCCCCACTCCCTCACTAGTAAGTTCCGCAAATCCTAGTCTATTTTTATGGAGGGTCTCTGAGAACTCTAACCTCGGGAACAGGTAGACAGGGCTTACTACATTTGCAAAGTAACCGATAAAGCGAACCGACTTTTATGTAAATTCTTGCTTTAAGAATAATAAAATTGTCATACTAAATTTTATTTGAGTGATAACTGTTCTAGCTAAACTATGTGTGTATTTCAGTCATTTGAAATACAAGATCTGCAAGGAGAAGTAAAATTGCAGCAGAAACAGATCGATGGCCTGACAGATCTAATCAACATCCTAAAGGAGGAGAAGAAAGAGTTGGGGATGGAGTTGGCGCTTGCTCGACTCAACTTGAGTCATAGAGAACGGGACATTACAAATCTAAAGGCTAAGATTGAAATGGTAATATTTATTACTAGTAGTACGCTTATTCTGCGCGTAGCGGGATGAGTGAACAAGAGCGCAATAATGAAAGAGCCCACCCACACCTATTTACTCCCACACAATCATAACTTACCGGTGTCACTGGTGAACGCAATAATGTTATTTGTATGGGCAAATCAACCAAATCTCAGTCAACAACAATCCTAACTTCTCGTCCATTAATTAATTAACCAAAGTCATTGGTAATATACGTAATGGATTTTCAACAGTTATCGATAGGAGGTAAATCCATCGTTCCTGCACAAAACGTCTTTTGATTAAATGAAGCCTATTTCCATATTTGTTATGAGGCCTATCATAAACAAAACTAAGCCAAACTGAACTAATCTAACTTAAATAAATTGCCAAAGCACAGTGTAAGGAATCTCCAAAAAATATCGTATTGCTTACAATGATGATTTATGTCAACGATAGCGCTATTATATCATCTAAAATGATTAAAAATCCAATAAATGCTCATCTAACTAATTAATCTAAATGCCATAAACGGTTCCCACACTCCGCACTGCTTGCATTTACCACCTCCATCGCCACTACCTACGTCGTGGACCTGTTTCCCTCTCTTCTCATAGCATTTTATTATTGCAGATACATTAATCTTAACTGTCACAAAGGGTTCCCACAATCCGGACTCCTCGCCTTGACTACTCCCTTCACCACTTCCTACCTTCCTACGTCGTGAACCTGTTTCCCTCCCTTCCCATAGCATTTTTAGAATTATTGCAGATACTGTACATTATTCTAATTATCACAAAGGGGTTCTTCACTCCGGAATGCTCGCTTCGACTACTTCCTTCAGCACTTCCTACGTCGTAGACCTGTTTCCCTCCCTTCCTATAGCATTTTAGAATTTCAAATAGATTAATTCAACTTTCACAAAGGGTTCCCACACTCCGGACTGCTCGCCTTGACTACATCCTTCACCGCTTCCTACGTCGTGGACCTGTTTCCCTCCCTCCCATAGCATTTTAGAATTGCAGTTACATTAATCTAACTGTCACAACGGGTATCTACACTCCAGAATGCTCGCCTCGACTACTTCCATTACCAATTCCTACGTCAAGGGCCTGTTTCCCTCCCTTCCTATAGCATTTTAGTATTGCAGGTACATTAATCTAACTGTCACAAAGGGTTTCTACACTCCGGATGGCTAGCCTTGACTACTTCCTTCACCACTTCCTACGTGTCATGGACCTGTTTCCCTCCCTTCCCATAGCATTTTTAGAATTGCAGATTTATTATTCTAATTGTCACAAAGGCTTCCCACACTCCGGACTGCTCGCATTGACTACTTCCTTCACCACTTCCTACATCGTGGACCCCCCACCCTTCTCATAGCATTTTTAGAATTGCAGATACATTATTCTAACTGTCACAAAAGCTTCCCACACTCCGCGTGCTCGCCTTGACTACTTCCTTCACTACTTCACTACTTCCTGCATCGTAGACCTGTTTCCCTATATTTCCATAGCATTTAATTATTACAGATACATCAATTTAACAGTCATAAAGGGTTTCCGTACTCCTTTCTTTTCACTGCTCACCTTTCTGCTTCCTTTACCACTCTCTACCTCTACGTCGTGGACCTGTCCCCCCCCCCCCTCTTCGCATAGCTTTTTAGTATAAACATATACCAACATCTTTGAATATTTAATATTCAATGCCAACACTAAATTGAATAATGTAAAATGCTGCTTTGTTCTAAATACATAAATATATATTTTTAATTTAAAGGTGAATTTTAATACTGAACATAAACGGTATATAACTGCCGACTAATATTGTTAAGTTCAATTTATTAATCTGAAAGTTGTGAAATTTAATTAGCTTAAATAACATTATTCTGAAAGCTGTGAAATTATAATGATATCTATATCTATACTATTATATAAAAATCTAATGGTGTCTGTCTGTATGTGTATTACTAATAGGTGCAAAAACTACTGAACCCACTGGGCTTAAATTTTACAAAAATATAGCTACCATACCAAGGACCATGATAGGACTATTCACACTTATGTTCAAACTCGTTCGCTGCGCTCACTTGCCTTCAGGTTAGCTCGTTCGCTACGCTAACTCGCCTCCGGGTTGAAGTTCGTTCGCTACGCTCACTCACTTTTGGTTTAAAATTAGCTGTTGTAAAATATAAAAAAAAAAATAATAAAGCTGCACTCTGTTGGTAATCCTTGTAACTTTAATACTATTTAACATCATAGAACAGAACCAACTTGTTTAATTGAAACAGCTGTTAAGGTTCATTAATTCCATTTAAATATGAGTACTCATTAGGTTAATATGGGAAACTCCAGAGCCACTGGGGCGGAGCCCGAGGCCCGATCAGAATAAAAACCACTTAGTTTTCCTATTTAATGCCTAAAGAATCAGTGTACCAAATTTCAGCCTCCTAGGTAAGTGGGAAGTGGGAGAATTAGTGATGAGTGAGTGAGTCAGTCAGTCAGTCAGTCAGTCAGTGAGGGCTTTGCCTTTTATATATATAGACTAGCTGTACCCGCGAGCTTTGCCCCGTTTAACTTCATATGTGAGCTCGTTCGCATGGCTCAATCACGTCCTGGTTGAAGTTCGTTCGCTACGCTCACTCACCTTTAGGTTGGAGCTCGTTCGCTGCGCTCATACGTCCTGGTTGAAGTTCGTTCGCTACGCTCACTCACTTTTGGTTTCAAATTAGCTGTTGTAAAATAAAAAAAAAAAATAATAAAGCTGCACTCTGTTGGTAAAGGTAATCCTTGTAACTTTAATGCTATTGAACATCATAGAACAGAACCAACTTGTTTAATTGAAACAGCTGTTAAGATTCATTAATTCCATTTAAATATGAGTACTCATAAGGTTAACTTCGGAAACTCCAGAGCCTGTGGGGCAGAGCCCGAGAGTCCGATCAGAATAAAAACAACTTAGTTTTCCTATTTAATGCCTAAAGAATCAGTGTACCAAATTTCAGCCTCCTAGGTAAATGGGAAGTGGGAGAATTAGTGATGAGTGAGTGAGTCAGTCAGTCAGTGAGGGCTTTGCCTTTTATATATATAGACTAGCTGACCCGGCGAACTTCGTATCGCCTAAGTTATAGGTTTCCCCTAAGACAGACCGATGGAAAGAAAGTACCGTTACGTTTAATTTTTAAGATGATCTCGTTCGCATCGCTCAATCACGTCCTGGTTGAAGTTCGTTCGCTACGCTCTTACCTTTGGGTTGGAGCTCGTTCGCTACGCTAACTCGCCTCCAGGTTGAAGTTCGTTCGCTACGCTCACTCACCTTTTGGTTGCAAATTAGCTGTTGTCATAAATGTAAAAGAAATAATAGTGCTGCACCCTGTTGGTAATCCTTGTAACTTTAATGCTATTGAATATCGTAGAATAGAACCAACTTGTTTAATTGAAACAGCTGTTAAGATTCATTAATTCCATTTCTCATAAGGTTAACATGGGAAACTCCAGAGCCACTGGGGCGGAGCCCTTTTAAGAATTTCGAAACGGGAAATAGTTTACGTCCGATTCGCATACCTACAGAATTTACACACCAAATTTCATAACGATCGGTGAAGTCGTTCCGGAGGAGTTTGCAGACAAACACTGTGACACGAGAATTTTATATATTAGATTATAGATTATCAAGGTATTGTTGATAGCAAATGTATGACAAATATTAAACAGCTGACGAATAATTTATAAACTGTGTATTATACTCTTCAATAAGAATTGTATTGACTCAACCTTTGAAGGGCTGTAGGTCGTAGCCCTTAGAAAAAACGTAAAATCTAAAGAAGTTCTGCATATCTACGCACTGCACTGTCCCCTTTAATTTGAAACATAAATCTTTTAGATCGGTCCAGTAATAACTGAGAAAACAGACTTACAACTGTGTTTTGAATATATAGATTCTTTTGGTATGTTGTTTCCAAATGCTGATTTTTATTTTAGTATTTTTCTTTGTTGTGTCAGTAATGTGTGTTTAGATACGTTGTATCTGATTTTAATGGTTTTTATGAGTTGAGCTGACAAAGAATATGAATAAAATGTTGTATAAATAAGACCAATACTTAAGCATGATCAAATGTCATTATATTATTCAGATTTCTTTATTAGGATAGCAAGCTTACCTGAATGACACAGGAGACACAAAACTTTATACTATTTTAAAACACAAAAAAAAGAATATTTCACTGTCACTGACAGCATTTTCAACTAAGGACTAAGAGGGGTGAGATATCTACCTCAGGTTTGCATCATTTTATTTCTTTTGACAACCCCTTAAAAATGAGGGATCTCTCAATAGGGATTGCTATTTGAAAAAAGTCACCCTTCCCGATTTGGAGTTTAAAAAATACTTTTTATTTAGAAGATCCCGGAACCTTTGTAAACAACCAATGCCACAAACAGGCTATTTCTATCTATTTTGGTTATAAAAAAATTATTAGTTTCCTTACTTAATTTACACACTAAATTAAAATTTCATTCAACGTATTTAACAAAAAAAAAAAAAAAAACAATTTACAATTTAGAGAAAATGGTTGGGGTCATTTGCCATTTTTGAAATCTTTGTGCGCACATTGCGCAAACTTGTTAACATGTTATTGTAGTACACGTATGTATAGTAACATGTTATTTGATTCATTCTAAATTTTACATTCTTTTCACAGCTGGGGGAGAAGAGTTCTCTGCATGAAAAGTTCCTATCTTTAGAAAAAGAAATGGAAGAAAAAATTATGGTAAGAACTCATGAAATATTTATAACATTCGTTAATCTAGTGATGGGTCGATGCCAAAATTATTCGATTCTGATTCTTAAATTTGGGATTCGATGTTCGATTCCAAATTTAATGGTTCAGGTTGACAAAAAGGCTTTTAGAAATTATTAAAAAACAAGCATTATTAGAACGAAACACAAGATTTTAATGTAGATAAACACAATAATAAGTGAAACCAAATGAACGTAAATTGTTAAACATAAACCTACAGTAATTTTATTTTTATTTTATGATGACTTTTACTTTTAAGTATAGGCCTAGTGTTATTTTTATTTATATTAGCTATATTTTTTAAAATTTAATTTATACATTGATTGTATTGTGTTGCTTGTTTTGTTGGAAAATACATTATGGATTTATGTGTGTTCTAACTTTTTTCTCACCTTTCCCTTTAGAAAATTAAAACTTAATTATATATATAGGCCTACCTCAAACAAGTAAAGCCTAACTAGACTCAATTGTGCTTTTTTTCTGTGTAAATAAACGTCTTTGACGTTTAGCTTTACAGTGTGAGTTTGCAATATATTTGTAGCTTATTATTGATTAACGCTGAACTATCCGAATCCGAATCCCCCAATATCTGAACCGATCCGAACCGAGCCTCAACTATCCGATCCTAAATGAAATTACACTATTTGCACACCTATAGGGGAGAGAAACGGGACACCATTCTTAATTTATGTTTTTTCATGAACGTTTGTTAAAGAAATTGCACACATGACGTATCATAACCTTAAACATTTAATAATAAACAAAAGAGCTGTTTTTACACTAAACTCAACCTAAACATGTCCAAAAAAAGTTTTACAAAAGCTTACGGATCCCGTTTTATCCAACCATGGTATATTTTTATCCTCAGATCTAAAAAAAAATTCTTAAAAATAAGCTGTTATCGTTTAAAACCCCCCAAAACAAAGTTGATTTTTCTTAATCTTCTTCATTTTCAGATGAGGAGGACTTTTCCTGTGCAATAGACTTTTTTATTTGTTGAACAGGAATGGTTTGGTTGGATTTTCTTGGTTCTTTCCTTTTTCTATCCGTTTGTTTTTACATTTTATTTTATTTATATCAAACCGTCCCCTTTTCTTAGCATTTTCTCTAATTTTTACTATTCTGGCATTTTCTTTTTTTATTCCTTTCTCTTTCTTCCAGCTCCAACCCTATAAATGCCTATTCCGTTTTGTCCAACTCAAAACCATCCCGTTTTGTCCAACTCAAAACCATCCCGTTTTGTCCAACTCCGACAGATTTGGAATCAAATATGGCTGCTGCCAGAACTAAGCAGCAAAACTACAAGGTGATCACATACAAATATTCAGAAATAAACAGCAAACAAAACATAATACTTAACAAAACTGTATTCCTTAACAAAACCTTGAAACATCATAACTCAAGCAAACTGAATTCTGGCCTTCCGTGTTCAACCACAGAAAACATACTACTCTAACCCAGAATGCCAACCGTACGGTAAAAAGAGTTAAGTACTTCGAGAGAGCTTAGCCTGTCAATTCGTAGGCAGCGCCACCAGCTGCTGAGTGCATAGCAAAGCTGGTGGCGCTGCCTACGAACTGACAGGCAAAGCTCTCTCAAAGTACTTAACGCTTTTTACCATGCGGTTGGCATTCTGGGTTATAGTAGTATGTTTTCTGTGGTTCAACTGAGAATGCCAAGATGGCGGCCAAGAGCTAAAACCTATGCTTTCCCGCTATATTGTAGTACTAGTATCGCTAGAACGTAGGGTATCCCGTTTTGTCCGACCGTCCCATTTTGTCCAACTCCCCCCTACTCTTCATAATATTAATAAATTTGGCAACTATTTGATCATTCTTCTAATCTTTGTTTTTAGCTCCGCGATCAACTTCTTAATGAGGCAAAAGAAGACTGGCTTACAGAAGTGCAAGCCAAAGAAGATCTTGAAGAAGAAATAGCAAAACTGGAAAAAGAACTAAGTGATAAGGTAAAATATTAATGATAATGTTATCCAAACAAATTGTAAAGTTGGATGTTGGACCAGCTAATAAGTGTAATGTGCTCATGTAAGTCTTACATAGCTACTTGAAGTGTAGTAACAGGATTTGATTAATTCTTTTCTGAAACTGCACAACATCTAAGACCATCGGTGATTTGTTTGAAATTATCTTGTCTTTTAAAACCACAAATTGACCAAAGGACCACGAATATTGATAAGACAGGAGTTTATAAAATCAAATGCAACGTAACTGCCCAGCTATTACATTGGACAAACAGCTCCTCACGAAGGTTAAAAACATTACTGTCTAAAAAAATCATCTAAATCAGCTTTTGCCAACCTTCTAAGGGCCGGTACACACACACCGACTTTTGTCGTGCCCCTGTACGACTCAAGAAATCGTATATCTGCACAACAAGTAGAGAAACAAAGTAGGCAATGGAAGTTGCATGGGGGTGTACACACTAGTGCGACAGCAGACGTAGAGGTGTTAAGGTAGTGGACGACAAATTTCAAGTCGCGCCCGGCACCGACTGGGGGTCCGACAGGCAAGTCGTGTTGTATGGGCACAACTGTTTTGAGTCGTAGCGGGACATGGCGTTATACGGCTGTCATGTCGGTGTATACACACTAGTGCGTCTCGGGACACTACTGCGGGGCGCCATGCTGGGAAACTCAGACCCTGCCCCGCCAGTCTGCATTGCAATCTGGCAGAGGAAGGTCGGTGCAATGGATAGTGTCGTAGAACAAGCCGCGAATGAATCTGAGGTACAGCAGACTGTTGATGGAATGCAGATTTCTGTGCAGATATAATACTCTGACAACTTCTAACATCCTCCCACCAAGTTCATGGAACATTTTACAAGTGAAATGAACTTAAATAAATTATTGATAAACAATTTGTTTAAAAAAGAGAAGTTATTAAGTTGCCTTGTTTCTTTCATTTTCAAGTATTGTTCTCAAGTTTAGTTTGTATATCTCTTCGGAACGCAAAAACACTATCTGTTCAAATCCATATATATATATATACGAGGGTTGTTTTTTTTTTTTCAACCTCCGATCGCTCTGTGCAGACGCTACACAGGAGGCAGAAGGCGGGCATGCGCCGTAGGCGATTGCGCAACTCTTCCACTACACCTGTCGCCATTGTTGACATTCGCGTGTCAGTTGGCGTTGTGCTACGGCCACATAAACATGGCTGCCACCATTGATGCTCCCGCCAAGCGCGGATTGCGGAGTGTTATTCGTTTTCTACAGGCTGAAGGCCATAGTGCTGCAGAAATCCATCGGAGAATGAATCGTGTGTATGGGGAAAACTATGAGTGATGGTGTTGTGCGTGAATGGTGTCGAAAGTTTAATGACGGCCGTAATGATGTGCATGATGAAGGGGGACAAGGACGCAAATCTGTCATTTCAGATGACCTGGTTCAACGTGTTGACAGAATGGTGAAAGGAAACCGCAGATTCACCATTACTGCTTTGTCTTTGGAATTTCCCGATGTTTCAAGGCCTGTTTTGTACTCTATTGTTACTGAACGGTTAGGCTACAGAAAACTTTGTTCACGTTATGTCCCAAAAATGTTGACGGATGGCCACAAAACTCAACGAATGGTGTCAGCTTTAGAGTTCCTTGAGCGTTACCATGATGACGGAGACGACTTTTTGAAATCGATCGTGACTGGGGATGAAACTTGGATTCAGTACGACACACCGGAAACAAAACAACAATCACAACAATGGATGCACTCAAATTCACCAAACAAACCAAAGGAATTTAAACAATCCTTTAACAACAGAAAGGCCATGGCTACTGTGTTTTGGGACCAAAAAGGTGTGTTGCTTGTGGAATTCATGGAACCTGGAACCACAATCACTGCGGCTGTTTATTGTGAAACTTTACGACGTTTGCGTAGAGCCATTCAGAACAAACGAAGAGGAATGCTGACTTCTGGAGTTGTTTTGATCCATGACAATGCCCGTCCACACACTGCTGGAGCAACTCAACAGCTTCTCGACCAATTTGGATGGGACATTTTCGATAACCCGCCATACAGTCCTGACCTTGCACCCAGCGACTTTCCCCTTTTTCCTAATCTGAAGACGTAGCTTGGTGGGAAGCGTTTTCAAAACAATGCGGAGCTCCAAACCAACGTCAAGGACTACCTAAATGCGGTGGCGGCAACCTTCTATGAGGAGGGCATACAAAAGCTTGTCCACAGATACGACAAATGTCTGAATCTCTATGGCGATTATGTCGAAAAGTAGCTGTAAGTGTACCTTTCTTTTGGTAATAAATGTATTATTTTATATGGACTTGTCTTTTATTTATAGCCTATCGGAGGTTGAAAAAAAAACAACCCTCGTATATATTTTCATAGTATATATATTTACTAGAGAACCTGTGCGGCTCAATGATCCGCATAGTATGAAACATAACTCCGAGAAAAACGTTATGCTTAAATTTGAGTAATTCTAGTTATATCTTAGAGTTTGTTAAACTCTTGTTAGAAACTAATTTTAAATACCTCTATTAGCGTCGTAAAGGTTCACCTACCTACATTATTTCTGATCTCAGTTTTAACTGATAACTTCTAATTAATGCTAAACGACCTGCTTCAATTCGAGTTAACATGTTACAACAAAGTTTTTCCAGAGTTGAGAATTGAAGAAAACTGTTGCCTTATGTATAGCCTGTGTTAGGTAATTTAAGTCTGGGTCATTTTATTTCTTTGATTTGAGACTTCCCTCTAATCAAACAAATTTTCTCCGTAGAGAATCCTGAAAAGGTGGGTGATATCAACCATTTCATGTGCTTCATTTTTTACACACAAACTCTGGGTTACCAACTAGACAGCCATAATCTGCTTTGAATAGGCTAAAGCAGCAACACCATTGAAAGTTGGTTAACATATTTTAACGTTTTGTCTGTCAGTCACAGTATATGCCCCTCATCAGAACGTTCTCACGTTGTTCAGTGGAATTCCTCATTTAATACCTGTACCAAAGTTTTGAAAGTATGGATTCATTTATCGAAATAGCTTGGATAATTCTTGTAGCTATAAAATTTGGATATCAATTTTCATCTTCTCTTTTTGAAAAGCGTATATTATTTGCCTCTCCTGAATCATAAATATCAACATGACCGTAACTACTCGATCGTTAAATACATAAACATAAACACGAATTCCTTCACTTATGTTTGGTCTATATTATAGATATATAGTGGCAATATTTAGTACAAAAATTGCCCGTAAAATCCCGTCTGGCAATGCTTTTGTCCCGTTTTCGGGTATTTTCTCAGTTCGAGCCATATTACAAAGACTCTGGTTATTGATCCAGGCAGTGCTGCTACCTTTGGGTGTTTCAGTGAACTACGTCCACTTTCGGAGTAACGCAGAACAATCACCACTGCTCTTTTGTGATTCGTCTTACTGAGATATTTCAATACCAATAGCGATCGCTGATTCAGTTAGCGCGTCGGGGCTCCGCCCGGGCCTCGCCGCCATTGGCGAGCGCCTGTTTAAAGGTTTCAGTAGCGAATGTGTTAAACTAACAAAATTTGTGCCATTATCTGAATAGATAACACTTATCCGGCCTCGTCTAGCTATAAACCGTCGTAAGGCTCTTATGAAGGCTTCTGTGTTGAGGGATTGGATGACTTCTAAGTGGACTGCACGATACACGGCACATGTAAATATTACCACCCAACACTTCTGATTATCTCTAGTGATCAATGGACCAGCCAAGTCAATCCCACATACTTGAAAACATGAAGAAATCTCAGTGCGGTCTGTGGGTAAGGGAGGTGATGGCATCTCTAAGGCTTTTGCTATGTGTCGCTTGCAGCGAAGACAGTTGTGAACTACCTTTCCAACAGCCCTTCTGCCTTTCAGGATCCACACTCTGTCACGAAGGATGACAATCAATGCTTGTACTCCTGCATGTTTATTCTGTAAATGGTACTGCCTGATTATTTTCTCAACAGCAGGGTGTTTGCTAGGTAGAATGGCAGGGTACTGGTATTCAAAACCTTCATCCCGATCTGATACTCTGGTTTTCATTCTTATGACGCCATCTTCATCCACAAATTTTTGTACACCACTTAGCTCTTGAGATTTTAGACCTTCAGGAAAGCTCTCTCTTTTAATCAATTTAATTAAATACAATCTTTTCTGTCTTCAAGAATTCTTCAGAACTGATGTTATTTCCCAAGTTCAATTTATTCTTGGGAGACATTCTCAAGATCCACGCTACAGTTCTTACTATCTAAGTATACTTCGAAAATCTATTTCCTAACATTTGAGCGATTGATATTGGCTCAACAGAACTAGCAGTGACGACAGATTTACGAAATTCTTCCTTAAGCTCTTCTGGATCAGGTGATGGGCGTTCTGATGGCCATTTATCAGGAGAAGCATATAGCCATTGAGGGCCAAGCCACCATTCAGAATTGAGTTATTTTTTAGGAGTGCATCCCCTGGAAAGAATGTCAGCAGGGTTGTCAGGTCCTGAAACATGTCTCCACTGTGAAAGTTGGGTCAATCTGTTAATTTCTTTCACTCGGTTTTCAACAAAAACAGACCACTTCCCTTGCTTTGCAATCCATGCTAGAACTACGGTGGAGTCCAGCCAATAATAAACTGGGACTTTGGGGTTGTTGAGACACTGTAAAGCTAGACATGAGAGTCTCACACCAGTAATTGCACCTATTAACTCAAGACGAGGTAAAGTAATTGGTTTGATTGGTGCAACTCGTGATTTAGCTAATATAATATTTATGTCAAGGATACCATCTACTTCGGTTCTTAAGAATATACTACATTCAAAAATATTCTCCTGCTCAATACACACCTTTCCAGACAGCCAAGTTCCTCGACCCATTTTTGAATCTGCACCTGTAGGTTTTGAGGTAGTTCTTCATCCCAACCTACCTTCAACGTCCAAGTCGTTTGCAAAATAATTTTGGGAATCAGTCCAACCGGAGCAG